TCAGTGAAGCACGGTTCTGTGATCAGCAGTAAATCTCCATCCGAGGGCCAGAGAAACTCCAAATACACCCCGTAGAAGAAACCCAATCCCTATAACGCTAGCTGAATAAACAGAAGATTTAACTGCTTTCATTGATTCAACGTGACTAATAAACAGACGACTAAGACAATATATGGTTTATCTGAGTTCTCATTATAATTTTTATTATAATGTTTATTATAATAAAGTATATAATAATGCAATGCTAATCGACACAGCCTCTATCACTGCTTAGAATACTATGAAATATGTTGCGTGCCTTATTCTGTGTAAGAAGCACATCATCTCACAGAAACGATTTATTTCAAACACTGGATTGACGTTCTGAGGTGAGTTTGCAGTTATTTATTATAATAAAGTATATAATAATGCAATGCTAATCGACACAGCCTCTATCACTGCTTAGAATACTATGAAATATGTTGCGTGCCTTATTCTGTGTAAGAAGCACATCATCTCACAGAAGGATTTATTTCAAACACTCGACTGACGTTATGAAGTGAGTTTGGAGTAAAAACATGTTATTAAATGTGGTATTTTCAGAAGCTTTCATTATTGCGAACGATATCTTTGATTTCATAATCGCATGATTATATTGTCTGCGATTATGAACTTGGTTTTTGCGTAGCTTTTCAGTGAACTACGGCTCTTGTGTAGTAAATGCTGCTCCATCTGAAAGCTTGTGAAAACACCACATTTAATAACATGTTTTTACTCATGTGTTTAACTCACTTCATAACGTCAATAGTCCTGTCAAACGATTAATCGCGATTAATCACATCCAAAATAAAAGTGTTTGTTTACATAATATATGTGTGTGACAACATAGTTCTGCTCCTACCAAACTGCTTCGTGTGTGACGAATCTAGCGCGCTCTCTGAGCTTTTTGTGTTGGTGGACGGCGCTTCAGCGGTGGTCGTTCCTGTGTCGAGTGGGTTGATAGATTCGGCTGCGCTGCTGCCCTCCGGGCGACGGTGGCAAGGCCTGAATCGGATCCAGAGATGTCTGCTATGCTTTCCCGGGCCGCCGAGAGGGTAGGGCTCGAGTGGAAACCTCCACCGCGTCCCGGGCCCTCGAGGTTGGACGTTTGGTTTACAGCCTCCACCCGGCAGGGC